TATATATATATATATATTTTGTGAACCATTTATTATTTATTTAGGAATTTCAAATACGTTTTTTATTTTTCAAAAGAAGTTAATTAATTGTAACCACAACAATAACATCTAATCACGTTAAATAGTCAACACATTATATGGTTAGTTGTAAGTAAATCAAAAGTTTAAAATAATTTTTGTAATTTTGAAGTGATTAGTGTGTTGATTATCTAATAATTAAATGAGATGTTAAATGAATAAAAAGTAACGATTTTTGGAGGAAAAATTTATATTGCTACATAGGTATAATTTAATAGGTTTTATTAAATGCTCATGAGCCAGCAATTATATATATATAGATAATAATATATTTCATTTATTGTGATTGATATGTACCAGCTCTATTTTAGTTATTTAGAATCAATAAAATTACAATTGTCCATTTTTCTGCCAAATACTGTTATACATATCCATTAATGCAGGGGCGGATCTACACATGGTCCAGCCTATGCAATTGCCTCCACTAGATTTTTGTGCTAACTATACAATTCATATAGTTAATATGTGTTAATTAAGAATTTATATGTAATATTTATATATATAAGTACAATTTTTTATTTTAAAATTGTAAACGATTCTTACCAAATAACATTATTATTTAGTTTAAAATGATACACCTCACTTGTCAGATATGACAATATTATATTACAATATTTTTAGTACTTAGACCATATAATCAGTTGGATATATAAATTTATTATTTTTCAATTATAATTGATAAATATTTATTTTTTATTGATAGAGATCAGATAGACATAATTATTTTAATTTATATATACAATATAAATGTCAAATTATAAATTGTCAAAATATGACTAATTTAATTATCATATATAAAAAATGATAACATATATGAGTGTTATTAACTGTTAAAGAATATTTACCATTTAAGTGAGTCAAGTGTTCGAATTTAAAAGTTTTGAATAAAGATCAATATTTATAGGGATTATTTTGAATCCTAAAATATTAACATATATAGAATTACAAAGCAGTGGAAGTTGATAGTGAAAAAACTCTACATTTATATATAAGAAGATAATCCATAAGAAACTCTTTATAAAATAACATGAACAAAAATGATGACATTTAGGTCTTTATAAAATTAATAAATTATATCTCAAAAACAACTTGTTAATAACTTACTACAAAAAAAAATGTAAAATATTTTTGGTGTATTTCTTAATAATAATAGAAAGGCAAAACAAAATAACCAGACATTATTCTCAATTTAATTTTTTTTAATAAGCATCAATTCAAAGGCAAATTGAATAGGAAAACCCTCAACTCCCGATCGCTCAAATGATTTTTTTTTTTAATTATTAATATAAGTACTTATTAATATAAGTACTTTGTGCAATATGGTTAAAACAATTTCAACAATTTTTGCCATGTCTCATTAAAATTTCTGGATCCGCCGCTGCATTGATATATCAACATTTATCAGTTTTACATATGTAATATATCAAATTAATCATCTCTTGATGAGCTTCGATTTAACATCCATATTGTATGTATAAAAAAAATAATTATATTTATCTTTATAATAATAATAATTTTTTTATATTAATTAGAAAAATAAAATTATTTATTAATTAATATATTTATATCTCAAGTAGTTATATGGTATAAGTTATATATATGACTATAAAATTTTGATCCCCTGCCCACGGTGGGCAGTGCCCACCACTTTGTTTTACATGAAAAACGTATTCTGAGAATACGTTTTTCAATTAAATTAATTGAAAAACGTATTCTCAGAATACGTTTTTCATGTAAAACAAAGTGGTGGGCACTGCCCACCGTGGGCAGGTGAGCTGGACTATATGACTATAATATAACACATGTAAGTCACACAAGTAATAAGTGTCATGTTAAACTATATAATAATATATATTTTTTATAAAAAAGTAAATAATTTTTTTTTTAAAAAAAATCTCATTAATTTTAAAATTTAAGAATAATTTTTTAACAAACACCCGTGTAATACACGAGTGTTGTACTAGTATTTCATTAAAACTGAATGAGATAAAATATTTTAACAAAAATATTATTCATTTCATCTCATTTTTTTTCTCTATAATCTCATCTTACACTATTAAAAAGGTGAAAAATAATCATTAGTGTATATTTCAAAGGAGACATTTTGTTTTTTAATAATTTTTGTTAACGATCTTCTTCACGGTTCACCGGCCAAATATCAGAACAGCGTGACATCATGCTTAGCTAAGATGAAATTGTTCATGAAAGAATGACACGTGGCGGCACCAGGGTGCGTCACATGTACGACTATGGCGTAACTATTCGGTTTGTACGTACGTTATATAAAGTTCAACCGTGTCTGTGCCTCGAATTTCTATCATAGCATTTTTCACATTTTTCTCCAATTTTTCCCACCGTCAATGACCGGATTTACAATAATTATAATTTACAACAAATAAAATAGGGAGATTCTCGTTACGAAACCATTTCATCGGGATTTGTAATCGTGAGATCAACTATCCACGACAGTTACATGATGATCTAACGGTTACAAATCCTGACGTAATGGTTCCGTAACGGCTGTAGTATTTTTTAATACAATATTTGATGATATTAGTTAAGTGTTGTATTTTTTGAGTACACAAAATTCGATATATTTTTGTTTCTTATTTTCAAAATTACGACATTTTTTAATATACTTGGATTCATATACATTTTTTCCAAGAATCATGGAGAATTGGAGATAACTGAAATTCGGCTAGCAAAAGCATGAGATTAAATCTCAGCCGCACATGAAAGAAAAATTTGAAGAAAATATGGCCGTAGATCACTTCCAATAGGTTTGCCCATTGGTGCCATATATAAGTTGGGAAAATGCTACGGTTTCGTTACGGAACCATTCCGTCGGGGTTTGTAACCGTTAGATCATCATGTAACCCAGGGGCGTAGCCAGGATTAAATGTTTACCTGGGCTATAACTATTCTACTAAAATATGACAATATCACAAATAGACATCTTCAAGGTTTGTAATGAACCACTAAACATGCGGATCCAACCATCAATCAATAGTTCGGTTAACCGTTGGCAGTAGTATCTATTACGATTTGATAGTCCGGTTACAGATTGAAAAATGTCTAAACCGCCTTAAAGGTGGTTATTGAATAGAAGAGGAAAAAACTGAAAATTTTGGGGAAGGAAAAAAAAAATCAAAGGATTTCTCAAAGTTCAGAAAAATAAATGCTGGAAAACTATCTCAACATTTTTTTTTTTTTTATTTCAAAAATTACGGCTTTGTAAAAATTTGGTAGTTTCTAAAGAATTATTCAATTTTTAACATTACAATAATAATGGAAAACTGGCAACTTGAATAAAAACAAGCAATTCCAACCGGACTGTAACAATAGTCATGATTCAACAACTCCAACGTGGCAATAAGTAGTTACTGTTACTATTTTAAATATTTAACCAACTGTAATCGGTTGTTTCGTAACCGAGAACATGTCTAATTAATAAAATATATATTTACGTTATGAAATGTCATGCATTTGATCATAAATATTTATATTTCATCAATTTGAATCAAACAAATAGTATTGGTATTTGAATGAGTGCAATAGAAAAATTTAAAATTAAAAACATCATAAGAAAAAAACCGTAATCTACTGGTAAAAAAATTGTTTATATTTCAACTTTCCAACACATAAATAATAAAATACAAGTATTTTTACTTACATGTCATAACCAAAAATTTAAAGACGCTAACTTGAAATGAAAAAAATATGCTTTAATAGCTTACTTAGAATTGTTTACGGGTCTCAATATTTGACCAGGCTAAGAGCATCTCCAAGAGACTTCTTATTTTAGACTTCTTATTTGGAGAAATAAGGAGTCATCCTATATCCATTTGCTTCCTATTTTTTGTTGTTCTCCAAGAGTCTCCCTATTTTATAATTTGAATATGAACCAGGCCCACAAATCTATCTAAAAGCCCACTTGATATTGTAATTGTTAACGATTATAATAGTAATTAACTAATTTTATAATATTCACTAATTTTTTTAATTATTATAATTAGTAATTTATTATTAATTATTTTTTTATAATTTTTCCTTTATTAATATAATATTATTTCTTTTTATATTATTATTATTATTATACTGATTGTTATTATAATTTATTAATTTTTAGTCAAATAAATTATTTTTTTGAACAATTTTTATTTTTTAATTTTTTAATTATAATTATTATTATTAGTAATTTATTATTAATTATTTGTTATATTTTTTCATGTATTAATATAATATTATTTCTTTTTAAATTATTATTATTATTATTATTATTATTTAAAATGGGGGTCGTTTTTCCTCCCCCAGAAATGAGGAAGAGAAGCCTCTATTTGAGGTCACCCTAAAAATAGGACCAAGTTTAGGGGAACTGTTGGAGACAGTTTTTGAGAGAAAATCCCTATTTTTGAGATAAAAAAGATAAATAGGGAGGCTCTTGGAGATGCTCTAATGACTTAAAAATAAAACAAGAATTGAAAAAAAAAAATGAGAATTTTATATATAATGTTGTGGTTGTTTCAAAGTCAGCCTGGGCTACAGCCCGGGTAACATGACAAGTGCCTCCGCCCCTGATGTAACCGTCGGGGATAGTTGATCTAATGGTTACAAACCCCAACAGAATAGTTTCGTAACATGACCGTAGCATCTCCCTATAAGTTGACCTATCAACTTCAACTAATTTAAGTCAAATTGGTCCCCGAAAAATATAGACATTACACAATGATAGTGTTGTTTTAAGGTATTTTTGGGACGAATATTAATAATTAAGACAAAATTTAGACTTTTTTTAGAAATTTTTGGAGTTCATAACTCTAGTGTCCTTTCACATTTATGTTTCAATTTTGATGGTATTGTATAAAGTCACCACATTTTTATGAAATTGCAAATAAAATTGAACAGTTGATAATTTGTAAATAAATACACAACCTTTTTTTTTTTTCTAACCTTTAAAATTTTATACCTTAAAATCCCAATATGGTGATAAACTGATAATAATATAGGGAGATGCTACGATCCCGTTACGGAATCATTCCGTCGGGGTTTGTAACCGTTAGATCAACTATTCTAACGGTTACAAACTTTGACAAAACAGTTTCGTAACAAGACCGTGACATTTTCATTATTACGTAAGCAATAGGAAAGCCACTTGATGACCATTTCATCAAATATTTGTTCCAATTGAAATCGTTTTCTCATTGTCGCTATTTTGTATGGGAAAGGGAAAGACGCAAAGACGCTTTCTGGTTGTTGACTTTGTACACACAGTCAAAACCCGATTTATATATATCATCATGCCTTGGAAGTACGTTTGACTTCACACCTGAATGAGATTGCTTGAGAGCTAAGAAAACGACACGTAATCACTTTGACATCACATACATTATAGTCAACGTTTTCGTGTGATGTTACATTCATTCACCATGCAAGTAACACGTGCATATGTATATTTGTAATAGTACCCATGACATCATCAAGATCTCATATCTTTCTTGGGTCGAAAGGAGCATTCGGTTTTGCCGGTGGCTACACTGTAATCACCGAGTTTGTTACCGTTGGATTGACACACAATAACATATTTGTATAGATGAATCTTGATCTAATGCTGAAAAAATTGAGTGATTTTCTTTTTCTTTTTTTTTTTGTGCAAGAAATGAAGGCTACGCAGAGCCTAAACGAGAACCGATCGAGGGTAGGACACGCCAACCCTATCATGGTGTAATCAGGGGCGGACGCAGACTCGAGAAACTAAAGGGGCACAAACGTAATTTTTACATAGTGAAATATAAAAATAAAAATGATAATAATTCTCCACACGTTCTCATATATTGTATCCTTCATAATCACATTATTTCTAATCTTATTAATTAAATCTTTCTCAAGTATCTACATTAATTTGTTGCACTAGATATTTCTTTCAATATGAGCATTAGTGAACTTCTATTTATAATATTTCTTCACAAAAATAAAAAATTATTTTAGTAGAAAAATCAATGACAAATACAATTAGTAACTAATTTATAAGTATATTTTTAAGAACGCCTAAATACAATATGTATCAAAACCAATAATAAGAGTTTAGAAATTTTAATTAAGTTGACTTAACATCAAAGTTGTGAAAGATCTAAAGATCACATTTTTTTTTTTACTTCTCAAATACAGTAGAGGATTATATAAAGAAAAATTAAATTTATTAATAAATACAACACAATTAGAGTGGAAATTAAAAATATGCTAAAAGATGGAATTGTAAAAATATTAATGTGATACTTCCATTATTAGAAGAGTTGCGACTTTTTTAATTTAATTATGGGTTATTTATATTCAAATATTAGAAAAAATACTAAATAATTTACTTAATAAATATTTTAACATATTTTCTACAATATATATAGGCACTATTTTTTTTTCCCTACAGGGGCATGTGCCCCTACATGCCCCTCCCTAATTCCGCCACTGGGTGTAATCAAACACTCGTCCCCAACGGAGGGCTCGCCAACTTTTGAAAACCACCCAAACCCTTTGCCGCCAATGAAACCAAGTAATCCATCACAAAATTAACCTCGCTATGCCCCAACTAACTCCTTTATTCCTTTCAATATTCCAGCATGGCGCCCGTCGTGATGTTGTGGCTGTAACAGTAATTATTAAAGAGGTTCATAAAAAGTATTTTCCTTCTTTTGCTTCATTGTTGTTGTAATAATATCGCTGATGCGGGCATTACCTTTGGTGATGCTTTGAGGGTGTTTAACAGGGTTGCAGATACTGACTTATTTGGTGCTTCTAGTGAGATTGCTGCCCCCAAATTCATGAAGAAATTGGCAGATATATACTTCACTCGAGTTACCGATTCAGCGGAATCTGTATTCTCCTTATCTCCTAGGCAGGTGGCCTTGTGGAAGTCGCAACAGGGTGATCACGCATCAGATTGGCTCCGCGCAGTCCCGATTTCTGGGTTAGGGCAAACGATGAATGGTAAGACCTACCGTGCTGTGCTCTGCTATCGGTTAGGTGTGCCATTATTTTCCATTTCCAGACCTTGTTCGGCTTGCTCTCGGGTCTTTGACGGGGATATATTTGGCGATCATGCGGTGTCATGTGCCGGTGTTGTTGGCATTAAACATCGCCATAACCTTGTTCGCGATACTCTT